CTGTTTCACCAATTTTACACAGTTATGTGAGAAATTATGTCTGCACTATTTTAAAGTCTGCACAAAGTTCTTTGGCAAGTAAGAGGTTATTCATGCCATAGACTACATTTATTTTACGACTGGCTGTTAGTTCAATTTTCTCCCAGAATTGATTTTGTAAACAATTTCCATACGTTTTTGAATTCTTAAACGTGTTTTGACCTGTCATAGTAGACGGAATTGGTGACAAAACAATAAGAAAAACATTAGAGTTGAACATTCAAAACCAATGAAAAGGCAGTGCAAAAAAGCTTTTTGGAAAGTCTCTAAGGTAAAAGCAAATCGTATGCAAGGAGAAATGTCCACTTATTTTCCACGCACACATGTGGAATATCTATGCAAGTTTGACTAAGATGTCAAATTCTGGTAAGATTTTGTTTTCATCAAAGTTTTGATCATGTTTTGTAAGTTTAAATAAACTGCGATTCCAAATTTAATGCAATAAATAAAAGAGTTGTAGCCTGGCTTTTAATGCCCAATAGGTAGTTAACCGTGCAGCGGGAGAGCTGTGAGTTGCACGGCGGAGTGCGAGCTTACTTATTCACTGCCAAGGCAGTTATGAATATTACAGAATGCCAAAATGTCTTGTAAGTTCGCTGAAGTATGTAATATGCGAGCACTTTTCATTTGCAAGTAACGGTAACGGTTGCCATTGCCGTTGCCGTTGTCGTTACCGTTAGTGACAGCGCAAAATGGCGGCTGCCAACCTGTCCTGTTTGTCCGTTAGCTGCGTTCCGGTTACGGTTAACGTTGCAATTCATATAAAAATAATTATTTGCAAGCGCGCATTCATTATGTGGAATGGCAACCCTGGCAACAAAATGCCTGCCACCTGGCGCCCGTTGCCTTCGCTGCCAGCAAACGATATTAAAAATGCAATTTGGCCAAAAATGCGTACTCCTTGGCCAGATCCGTTGGCACTGTTGGCTGTTATCCCAGGCAGCAGGCAAGGCAACTCTTGCTTGCCTCAATCACCACGCACTTGGCAATACGCAATACGCATTTGCAAATTGCATTTCCAACTGGCTGCCTGTGTCCTTTCACTCAGCTCAGGTTGCATTGCGTTGCTGGACATGGACATCGCCGGTCGCGCATCAAATTAAACGCCCGCGCGCAATAAACATTAATAAAAATCACACAAAAATTGCCATTTGCAAGGTGCAGCCGGCAAATGAAAATGGAAATTGCTCATAAACAAGTCCATCAAATAAAGTGCACACAGCTGAAACTCCAAAAGACAATAAAACCAAGAAAAACAAAAACACATCAATCCATAAATGCAGAATTGTAAATGCTCTTTCAAAATAAATAAATATGTTCTGCAACAAAAGCAACTCGAATGATCCAGTCTGCTGGATGCTCTTTCAGAAAAGAGCTAGAAGAATTCTTACATATCTTGAAAGGATTTTGGGTCTCAACCAATTGGATCGTTTCAGGTTCTGTTTAGTTTTAAGATTGCGATACATATGAATTCTGTAATTACTTGATTAAAGAATTCTTAAAATCAATCCAAAAGCATTTAGAACTTTTCTGATATTAAGTTACTTAGTACTTAATTCAACGACTTTTGGCTCTTTTTTTGTTACACACAAAGTCAGAAAACTGAAAGCCTGTCTGTAGAGTATAAAAACGGAGCCATTGGTGACTTTTGGTGTTAAACCACAGCACAATATTAACAATGACGCATACGTAGCAACAAATATACACACGCACTCGTAGACACAAACACAAAAACCCACGCACACATACACACACACACACACACACGCAACAGCGACCACCGCAGACTATCAAATTTTAATACGCCAGCAGCTTGTGCCTTTATTTCATAAATGTTTAATGAAATTAAGCGGCAAGCTTTTTGGGTGAGCTGGCCCAACTGCGTCTGTCCCGTCTGTGGGTCTGTCAGTCTGCGTGTCTGGCTGCCCGAAAAAGAGTATTTCGAAATAAATCATAAAGAATAAAATACATAAGTAAGCCAGACAGTTGGGCAGCCAACAGGCATTACATTGTTTGCATACCTTTTTAAACGATTTTAAAAGTTGCTTTATATTTAAAAAAGAAAAACTTTTTTTTATTTTTATTTTATTTGCGTGTACTTTTAACCACAACTAAAAGTGCGGCTGCTAAATTATGAAATAAGCGGTTTTTATATGCTTTTGATTTTAATGAGTGCAGATACACACACATACACACAGTCACACACACACACACACAGTCGCAAATGCATACATACATCAACTGAAAAGGTTAACTAAAACAAGCACACAAAATACGAATTATACTTCCGGCAAGCGTGAGTCAAGCCAGGCACAGGGTGGCTGCTCGGCAACCAGGCAACACCCCAAAAAGTATGCAGTAAAAAACTACGTTAGAGTCGAAATCGTATAGAGCCAGGGTTAAAGTCGGACTGGTATTCCGCATATATATGTGTGTGTATGCGAAATCAAAAGTTGTTTATGACTCAATTTGTAGTTTTTGAACATGAATTATTGCAGCTGCGCGCCAAAACGAAAAAACGGACTCAAAAAAATATATAAAAAATCAAATAAAAGAGCAAATGAATGTATGGGCTGGTGTGTGTGCGCGTGTGTGTTTCGAACTACACGAAAATTGTGCAAAAATTTGCTCAAAACTAATTTCGCAAAGAGGAAATTAAATATGGCAAAGTTTGACACATGACAGATTTGTTGCTATTGCTGTTGTCGTTGTTGTTTTTGCTTTGGCATTGTCTTGATTTTATTTACGAGTGTATAAATGTGTGGATGTCTCTGTATGTATCTATGTGCAACAGCAAGTAATTGAAACATTTCGAGCTGCTGCACATGCTCCTAACTGGAAGCTGACGATGCAAATTTTCAATCTGCAGCAAAAGCCAAACATCATTCCACAATAGAGAACGTATTTTGAGAGCGTATTTCACATTTCATTTCAATTAATTTGCTTTCAGTTTCTTCAATGCAAACTTTTGCCTGCCACTTAATTTAGTCAATAAGATGCAAATGATCCCGACGCCGCTCTAATTAGAAACGCAGCGCCAGTCCAAAGGCAGCTTCAGCTCCAGCCAGTTCGTTAGTTTGTCTTGTTTTCAATATTAAAAGCTGCGGTGCGTTAAGACTATGCATAATCCAATAGGGAATTTCCGTTGACAGCGACAACGTCAACTTAAGACTGATGAACTACAGCACTTCCACATTCCTGTTTTAGCTACGTGCATGGGCGCAGAGCAAAGTCGGAGATTTTCGATATTAGTTATTCCCTTGAACTATTTTATTCGTGTACACTTTTTATGGTATTTCAAATTAATACTTTTGAAATATCACTACTTTATATACACATCACTTAAGGAACAAGCACATAAGAGCTCTTGCGGTCATGAAAATCGGAAAGAAAGGCGCTTCAATATTAACAAAGTCAATTTTTTATAAGTGTTTGCTCCTTTTTCCAGTTGGAAAACAGAAAATAAAATGAATACGTATAAAAACTATTATGGACAATACTATATGAATTCAGCTAGACGTCATGGGGTAATGAGAATCGCATAGAAATGCGCATCAATATTTTGGCAACAGAAACTAAAATGAATACGTATATAATCAATCATGGGGTTATGAGAATCACATAGAAGACCGCCTTAATATTTCACAAACACATATTTTGTAAACAATGCCATTATTTCTATTTTGAAAACAGAAATAAAAATGAGAAAGTATAAAAACCACCATGCCCATACCATATATGAATTTAGCTCGACGTGATGCGGTCATCAGAATCACATAGAAAGGCACTTAAATATTTTACAAACACCTTTCTTAGCTCGAAAAATACAAAAATATTAATAAATATTGTAAATCATATTATAATTCTAATGCATCTATAAGTTTTAGTTTCTTAACCATCGTTCAATTGAGAATTTATGTTTGACGTTGTTGGAGTCCCCCTTTCTGTCTACGACTCTGACTGTCTGTGTGTGTGTGTGTGTGTGAGAGAGAGAGACCAACTGCCATATGAAGTCGTGCCAAGCATGAAATGATGTGCACATTCTTCAACATCAAGTGCGCCGAATATGTGCGTCTATCATACAACTGCGGTTACCTTTCAGCTACTGCGGCTGCTGCTGCCCACATCTCTATTTCGATGTTGGCTCTTGGTTACGGTTGGATTTCATATTGCGCACACTGTTGACACATTTGCTGACAAATGGCCAGAAGTGTATAATTGGTTAAGAAGCGTTTAAATGCTCGTACCGTGCAGCGCCAATTTATTGAAGGCTTATAATTTTTTTTGGTGGCGCTCAGTTGGAAAATGCAATCAAATTAAGCGCCAATGTGCAATTATTTAAGCGCCAAAATTTGAACTATGTAACATTTATGCAGATGGAGGCCAACTCCAGTGCTATTGCCAGGGCCGGGACCCCAGCCAAAATGTTTCATGGCTGACTACTTATCGCTTAATCACATCAGAGCATCGACCAGTGTGTTTGGCCATAAAACATTTAGCAACATGAAATCGTTTCTGTTACTGTTACTTTTGCCAGACATCAAAGCCAATCAAAACGGCATTTCAATAATATCAGAGCACTACAATCGCATCAGCGAATGGCTAGGTAGGAGGGGGCGGAAAAGACACACACACGCACGCACAGTTGTTGTAATGTGGCATGCGTGTGTTTTGGTGGGGTGCTGGGGTTGGCATATAAACGATTTGTTCGCAAATATCATGAGCATGAGCTCACACCCACAGCTGACAGACAAGCCGAACCACACAATCACGAGCACACGCACACACACACACACACAGACAATGGTTGTGGGGTGGCAATGTCCTTGCCCAAACGCTAGAAGATAGCACATGTGTGTGTGAGTGTGTGGCTGTATTAGCCATAACATAAAGATATTTGACAGGCACATAAAGATTGGCAGCAGCACGCGGCGTGTTGAAGAAAGGAAGAACTTATCGAATTTTTAGTAAACTGTTTTTTTCGATTTTTTAATTTGCTTGTACCATTACTGTTAAATTTTGACTATTTCAGGGCAAGTATAATATGCTGTCAAATGCTTTGTCTGCCAAATTTAATCACAATCCTTTTCTGCGGACTCCTTTTCCTTTTCCTCTTTAAGTCTGAAACATTGGCAAGCTTCTTCAGATTCTTTTGGCTCTACTGGCAGAGGGCATTTAATCTCATCGGCAAGTGGAAATAACTTATTCATAATGGGCGGACATTCTGGTTCTGGGAATGAGCAGTCGTCTTCATCTGCACAATCATCGGACATTTCACTTTTTTCTGCGTCTTCGTCTGCGTCTTCCTCTGCTTTTCCATCGCATGGACACAAGGCTTGCAATTCTTCCGCTTCTGAGGGACTCAAATCCAATAGGCAGTTAACGTCGGCCTCTTCAATCTGAATTGGCTGCGGTTCGGGACACTCCATAGCCTCTTTGGCGGCGGCCCCCTTTGGTCTTCCACAGGCGCCACAGCACACGGAACAGTCCGCGGACATAGGATCAATTAGAGGAGCTTGATAGGGATTTGGAGCTTGACGCATCTGATTTGCAGCTTGATAATTATTTTGGTTATTTTGCAAACAGGGTGACCCAGCAGCCGGATCAGATTGACGAGGTTGATTTTGAGGAGGAGCTTGATTACATATGCCACAGGGTGCATTTGTAGCAGGAGATTTGCCATTTTGGGGATATTGGGAATATTGAGGATATTGTTGAGCTTGTTGAGCTTGAGCATACTGAGGAGCTTGTTGAATATATTGAGCTTGTTGGGCTTGGGGAGCTTGACGAGCTTGTTGGTATTGTTGTCCACCGGGTGAATATGCAGCAGGAGCTTGCTGACCTTGTTGAGCTTGGTAATAGCCCGGATAGGCACCAGGCCGGTTTTGATTCATCTGGCCTCCATTAGATTGATAAGCATTTGATAAACGTCCACCGGGTGCAGCTGCACCGGGACCTTGTTGATAAGACGGGCATGGTTGTCCACCGGGTGAAGCTGCAGCGGGAGCTTGTTGATAGGCCGGGCACGGTTGTCCACCGGGTGCAGCTGCAACGGGAGGTTGTAGGTAAGCCGCGCAAGGATGTCCACCGGGTGAAGGTGCAGCGGGAATTTGTTGAAAAGCCGGGCATGGCTGTCCACCGGATGGAGGTGGAACAGCAGCCTGTTGACCTGGAGCTGAATAAATATATTGGTAACAATCTGGACAAGTTGGATATGCAGCAGCAGCAGATAATCGCTTTCCACCCTGTTTTGGAGATTGAATAGCATTTGGGGTACATTGTGCACCGGGTGAGGGAGCGGAAGCTAGGGGAGCTTGTTGATATTTCGGGCATTTTTTTTGTGCAGCAGCCTGAGGCGGAGGACACGGCTGGGGCTGCTGAGGCGGAGTACACGGCTGGGGCTGCTGAGGCGGAGTACACGGCTGGGGCTGCTGAGCTTGAGCTTGAGCCGGACCACATTCTTGAGGGGGGGGAAAATTCGGGCAGCCGGGCGCACACGGATTTTCACTCGTTGCAAAGCTTGCCACATCCTGCGCATTATAATTCTCTTGAGGGCAGTCACAGTCGGCAGCATCACCTTCCGCGGCCTTCTGTTCCAAATATGCCTCGCTTGTTATGGGACAACCTTCTAAAGATGACTTTAGGTTTTCTTCCTCGTCGCAACGGCAGGTTAAATCTGGTTCAGCTGCAGCAGCCTCTGTAGCACCACAATTTGGATCAACATCGGAAGCTGTAAGCTCCGCGCCATACCTGGCCAGCAGTTCGATCAGGACACCATTTGTCCATCCAAAGCCAGTTTGGGCCTGGTACTCGCCGTTAACGCTGGGAGAGCCGAATTCCTCGCAATTATACTGCAGAGGAGGATTAATTTACACAGAAACGCAGGCGCAAGTTACAAAAATGAGCTCACCTTTTCGTGCATAAAACCACTTTTATTAAACGCCTCATAGTTAGTTCTTACCCACCGCTCTCGCCAACGTTTCGACATCTCGTCGGCCTCGGGAGTTCCCAGATTATTCAGACCCTCGATCAGCATTAGCATCATTGGTGCCCATACATTCGGATAGTCCCATTGCTGGCCAGTATTACTCAGTGTGTGCGGCACACCACCCGGAAGTGAGTCTAGCCCATTTTCCTCGATGTAGTCCATTACAGATTTCGAGATTTTTTCGTTATCAGCTATGGGATAGGCATGAAGCCAGAGCGGCGATAGATTTGTGACGACAAAAAAGTCGCGCTGTGTTTTGTTCTTCAGATCATAATCCAGCCAGACGCCGCGCTTTTCATTCCACAGCACAGCGGTTATGGCCTTGATCAGACCACAGGCAATGTTACGATATTGTTGCGCCTTGGCGGTATTTCCGGCCATGGTATTGAACTCGGCCAGTGTCTTACAACTACGGAAGAGTATGCAATTGAGATCGACGGGCACTATCCAGGATGTTTTGATGTTTGCCAGTGTGCCCACATTGGTGCCACAGGGCGAGACAAACCAGCGCGAGCTGAAGTCCATGCCCGATTCGCAGGCAGCCTTCAGATTTGCATAATGGTCCTCCTTTTCATCATCTGAGCAGAAGCCAGCCGCGCTAGCTACATCTTCACGGTACGATTCGGGCCGTGGCCCCGATGATTTATCGCGATATTGATACATGGTACGACCCTCGACCTGTACCGAATGATTCTTTAAAAAGTTATCCATCTCCGTTTCGAGCAGCGGTAGTACGCGAAGAACATATTGATCGTCTTTGGTAAAGTCCATAAACGACTTGACCATGAGAGTTAGCAGGGGCGGCTGTGAGCGACCCCAGTAGTAGACTCGGCCGCCATTGGGCACCGCCTTATACTGCTGCACCATATAGAGCAGATTATCAATCATGCCACGTGCCGTCTGATGCATGCCGCTGTAGAGCAGACCGCGGACAATCCAGTATGTGTCCCAGTAGTAGAACTCAATAAATCGTCCGCCGGGCACAATGAACGGATTTGGTACATATACCAGTGAGTACATTTGGGGGCTTGTTCTTACACAATCCTTCATGTTACGGCCTAGCTGCTTCCAAATACGATTTAAATCCGAGCCAAACTTTTTTAATTGTGGATCCTTAATTTGGCATAGGAACGCGGGCTCCATTCGCCAATCAGGCGGACACCAATATTCCATTTCCGTGCCAGGCTGATCAAAATGATTATCCACGAAATTGGTAAGATGTTTAACCGATGTCTCATTCTTCTTGCATGAGCTAAACAATTGGAAATCGGCGAGTATACGCTCTGGAGAATAACGACAGCTCATGTCCACAAAATACTTGCAATCCTTGTACAAGCCAGTCATTTGAACAGCTCGCAACAACGGACCGCAGCAGTAGATGGCACTATTTGCATATATTTATACACACACTGTATAGCAGGACAACGTTAGGTAACTTACCCATTTGCACCGGCGAGGTGCACTTGCCCACATTCAGAGCATTTGGGAGCATTTGGCATTTTGATTATAAAAAAATTTGTGTGTGTGGAGCCTGTAAAGCCAAATGACAAACTGGTTAAAAAGTAAGGCCTAGCAACGAGAATGAGACAAGTAAATTAAAGTCAACTAATGTTTTTGATATATTTTGAAAAGACATGTTAGCTCGGACAAAAACAAACAATCAGTCCGACTCAACAAATAAATCAAATGCAAAGGCATAACAACCATTATATTGACCATTAAAACAAATTTGTCGACATTTGCCATTAAGAGACAACAATGCTTTCTCTCTCCCATCCATAAATCAGCGTAAATAGACAGGAAGCGCCTTAAAATCTGCTACACACACACACACACACAAGTGTACCCCGCCAGAGCCATACATTTATTTGAAATTACCATAAATGTTTTTGGTCCACCCCAGCTCCCCCTTAAAGGCGTTTGCCTAAAAGCTATTGGCCTCTTGTCCATTTGTAATTTCCAGACAATTTATCAAACAAGCGAGCTGAAGGCAAAAGGCAAGAAAACACAGAAAAGACGGGAAAGTCAGAATTGAAATGGCGCAGAAAATGCGCTTCAAGTGGCCATGGAGCAGGGAAAAACTCGATTTCTGAACTGATGGCATAGAATGAATCGACCGAATGGACAATTGAAATCAGCCGCGCTCCACTTCATAAATTTCCCAATGCAACTTTGCCCACCTTCTGAAAACTTTGGCTCGCCAAAGCAAAGAGCAAGAGCATTAAAATTAGGCATATTTGGTATTCGAGTTGTCTGCAAAGTTTCTTAAGTAAAATGAAAAAAATTAAATTGTATTTTTCCGTTTATTTTGACTTTAACTTTTTGGACTGTGTTGCGTGTGATAAGGCTCAAAGGATCTGTGAGCCTGCCATTTGCCTGATGCCAATAAAACGCAGTGTATAATTAATGCACCGGCTTCAAAAGTGAGCAATGCAAGCAGCTCTTTTACACACACTGAGAGAAATAAAGCAAAGTTTAGAAACCATTTGGGGCAACCTAATCGACAGGCATCAACAGCATATCATTTCATCAAGAAGGCGCTTAAACAGATTGCGAATTAGAAGCGCGCTTTAAAATGAGTGAAAATCTTCTTCTATCCGAAGATTTCTTATATCAAGCATCTTCTGACTTGCCAGGAGTATAAAGTATTAAAAAGAAATAATGTAGAAAAATATTTCCCACACCCAAAGCGTACTATCTTAAGATCTAATAATCATGATAACAAAATAGTGTGTAAAAAATAGTAGAAAAATTATTTTATTATTGGCCCCATTAAAGTAAATAAAATATACTTTTATAAAACAAAAAAAAATTGTTTCATTTTTACCCATCGAAGCAAACATTCTTTGTAGAATTTTTTCCTATTTTACTCGAAATGTCAACGAATTTATTTGTTGTCAAACCCTGCTTCAAAGTCAAGTAATTAATTCAATTTCAGATAAAATTGTATCGCGATTTGTGTTTTTTCGCAGTGCATGCATTCAGAGGACGCAATGTTGACACTTGGCGCGAGGCGATAGCCGCGAGGCGAAGCATTGATCAACTTAACGAGCCGCGCAACGACAGCCGCAGCCGAGGCAACAACAGCAGCAGCTAATTGAGTATTCTACTTTTAAGTGGCGCCTCTGCCAACCCGAGCCGACCGAGCTGTTAACACACTTCAGCTGCGTTTGCTTGTGGCAGTTGCAGCTTGTGCGGACAGTCCGGACTGTGCGGCCTGTGGTCAGCGCGCATAAATCAATAAGTTGCCATAAATTAATTAAAATAAAAAGCAGCGCATCTCAAGGTGCTGCCAGGACAAGTCCTGTGTGTATTACAAGTGCGTCTCCATTTTGGCTTTAAGCAGCGCTCAGCCGAAGCAATCAATCAAAATTGCAGCTGCCTTAGGGCGCCCGCTGGGTCGCTCGGTGAATCTGAAACTGAATCACGTAACGCCGTTCCATGGCGCATGATAAATTGTCAACACGCTGACGTTTGTCTGCAGCGATTTAAAAACTACTTAAAATGTAAATGTTGTTTCGCAGTTGTTGTACCCTGCACCCATTGATAATGGGTAAAATAAAACGGGTATATTGTTTTGGTGCAAATGTATGTAACAGGCAGAAGAAGGCTTCTTTAATCCCAGAAGGTATGTATACATATTGTTGGTCAGCATTAATAGCCGAGTCTACCTAGCTATGTCTGTCTGTCTATATCTGTCGATCTGCCTGTCTATATCTGTCGAATTGTCTGGCTATGTCTGTCTGTCTATATCTGTGTATGTCTGTCTGTCTGTCTATGTGTATTATCCGTCCGTATAAGCTCGTTGATTTCAAAGCCTCACATTTGAAGCGTAGGTCCGCCCATTCTTTGCACAGCTTAAGTTTATCTTAAATCGATAACTCACTCATTTTCTACATAATCGATAAATATCGATAAAGTTAAGGTTTTTAAAGCATAGATCTAAGAATTGCCAAATTAAGTAAATTACTTTGTAATATACCCAAATCCATAATATTTCACATGTTTAATATAACTTCGCTTTATCAAAAATTTTAAAGAATACCAACAATAAAGCCAGAGCCTTGTCTTTCGGCATGTACACACATTTGATTGCCTTATTTAAACCAATAAAATTGTAAAGCGATCAGAATAAAAATGGTTTAGTTAGAGGGGTTAAAAGAAGCTCGACTGTTGTATAAAGTACGCTTATGTGAGTGTAAATTTTCGTTTTCATGAAAAGAAGTAAGAATGTGTGTAACATCAGCTCCGTGCTGCATACAGGCTATCTGTTAGTTGAGCACACCCAACCAAAGCACGTCACCTTGGCGCTGCGTGCAGGCCATCTCTTAGTTGGGCGCACCCGACTAGAGCACTCTTACTTATTCGTTGTTGCTGTTGTTGTGCGAATGGGTGTTGGGTTTTATGCACACGTCGCAGCGCAGTCTGCGAAAATCATGTTGTTGACTTTGAAAAAAATATGTGTAAAAATGCGCTATTGTAAATAACGGCACATAAACACGCAGCCCGACTGACTGACACTGAGACTCAAACTGACTGACTGACTGCCTGAGAGACTGATGACAGGGCATTGTCAACAGTCAGCAGTATGGCAGCAGTAGCAGCAGCAGCAGCAGCAACAATCGACACACACATGCACACACACATGCACGCACACACAAATTCTATGGGTGTTGTCAAAGTGCACATTGTGTTTGTGCTACGCCTTTTTTGTTAACAAATACATTACATTTCAAGTGTTAAGCTTGCACTTGTCATTCACTCACTCACTTGTTTGTCTCAACACTTGGCAGAACACACCTGCCATACATATACATTTATATAGCGTACATATATGCCATACATGTACATACATACATACACTCGCGTACTCTTCGCATGTCACCCAATCGACCTGCTCTGTGATATACTTGTCAGCTACCAAATAGATAATGATATTTGTATCTTCACAAAAAACAACGCATTGTATAAATATTAAATAAGGCTACGAAAATGCTTTCTTTTCCAAGCTGTATCCTTTAATGCTTTGCATGTGCAGACTTGAGTTCGAGGCGGCTGATTAAATGTGTTTTCAAAAAGCGTCGGTCTTTATAGTCCGATCTTTATGAAGTTAAGAAATATAGGGTACATATATAGCGTACGTAATTGCATATATACAAAACCGCAAAGCTTTTCAGATATTTGTAGATTAAATTCAAGTTAGCCCCAAAAAAAAGAAACAGAACTCAAATTCGAAATTAATGAAATGCTGCATACTCTTTTATCTAAGAATGACAATTAAATTTTGTAAGCTTCTTTTTCTTTGAATTTTTAAGAAGAGGCATAAAAAAATGATTAGGAGCGGAGCTTAACGAACCATTGTTAACAAATATATTTCGATAACTCGATTATAAATCGATTTCGAGAGTTGGAACTATTTCCGATTACTTTCAAAATCGATTGGCAACAGATAAATTCATACCATTTCACTGCATAGTAATTTCTGCAATAATTCAGAAAATATATACCTCGGCTTTTATATATAGTGTGAGGCATTTATTGATTATTTATTTATGGTTTGATGTGTGCCCAACTCTAGTTGTCACGCAGTGTGTTCTCTTTGGATAGAAATTAATATTAGCACACAATTACAAAGCCTTTCTTCTGTATCTATATCACGTGTCTATAGGCCAGTTATAATAACTATTCGCTAAGCTCGAAAGTCTGTGTCTGGAGCAAGTCGAGCTAATCGCATAAAGTTTCATCCAAAATTACACAGGGTCTGGTCAAGTGAGCTATAAATTCGGCTGTCAAAATACTTGACAATTGATTAATTGAAATTGACTTTGAAAGTTGGACGATAAGCAGCAGCAGCCAGCGCAGCACACTCTGTACAGTCGTCGTGGTCGTCAGGGGAAGTGGGCTGTCAATCAGCTGAAACCCAAATTGGCACACACACTTCCCCCCACAGTCGCACACTCAAGCACACACGCATTGTGTGGTCATTTGTTGATGAGCTAAACTTTGACCAAGTCGACACACGAGTTTCGTCAAGCAAAAGGCCCAGAGGAAAGGGCAGACACACAGGCCGTTCAAATTAACCGAGACTAGTTAAACAGAAAAGTTTCCTTTAACGATATACAAGGGCAATCGGCAAATGTATCTGATGTTGTTTTTGCTCATATCGAGTTGACAACTTAAATTGTTAGTTGGCCGATAAGCGAGCAGCCGCTTGCAAGGGTGGCCCGACCCCGACCCCGACCACGACCCCGTCCACGACCCCGTCCACGAACCTTGCCTGTTGTGGTGGGCGTGTATAACATTTTTATTTATTTCACTATTTTTTATGTGCGCCGCCGACGCTACGGAACACGCGCCACATGCCAACGACAAACAAATAAATAAAAATCCAGTTTCGGCTGCACCAGAAACCCAAGTTCCAAGTCAAGTCTGGGCCTGGGCCTGGGCCGGGCCGGGCCGAGCCGGGGTCAGCGTGTGGAGCGTGTGTTTTACAAGTCTATTAACTTGAGGCGCTTATCTAATGCTGACAGCAAGTTTTTCACTTTGCCAAAGTTTTTCTTGCCACACACATAGACACATAGACACACACACATACGCCCACATAGCAAACGCAACTTCCGCTGCTGCTGCTGCGTTTCCGCTGCGGGGAGGCGTCTCCAACTGGCAACTGGCAACAGTTCAAATGTTGTAGCAAATGCCGCACATGTCAATCATTTGTTTTGCCATTTTTCTTGCCACCAAAAGCTGCAAAATTATATAGATATAAAGAGAACGATGCCAGAGCTATGCATAATGTATGGCAGCTCATTTCCCTTCAATTTGATGTTGGCCCACTCGGTCCAGTTGGGTGTTGATTTCTTGCTCTTGTATACTCTTGCATAGAGCAATATAGTTTTGTCACAAAATGTGTAACCGATTTTCGAAGTCATAAAGTATATATATTCTTGATCTGTATCGTAAATCGGGCCGAAACAGACAAGTCCGTCTGCCTGCAAACTAGTCCTTACTGAGGGTTTTAAAAAGATCAGACTTCTTTTTGCAGGCTGTACAAATATCGGAATCGGCCGAGTCGAAATACTATATTATATAGCTGCCATTGGGATGATATATCGAAAATTAAATTGTTGTATGAAAATCTGGTTTGTTTTTCAAGATATCTTGACCGAACTTGGCGTATACCACGCTTATTATATATTATCCAAATCTGATCAACTACTCGACCATATTATATAGTACTCTATAAAGAATCGGTCGAGTTTTTTTTGTTTTTCAAAAGATATTTGGTTAGAACTCAGGAGTTCGAATTTTCACCATTCACACCATCTGTAACAAATGTTGTCGTATTTAAGTCAAATAAAAGGGCATTGAATCTTCGGCGTGCCTTACATAGAGACTCTTGCTATTTATGTATCTGGCAGAGTCTTTAATGGATAAATTTCTCCCGCTGTTCAGATGAAAATGTTGCTCTCTAAGCGTTTGGCTTTTAGAGTGTTAACTGATCAAGTGAAAGGAAAAGTGCTGAAGCCAACTGTTAACTTTCACACTCGGTGGCTCGGTTGGCCACAGATACTTAGGTATAAGCAATTTCTGATTTGCTGGCAGCAGATAAAGCTCAAAGGATACAACTTGTTGGCCAACGAAATGGTCAAGTGAAGTTGCGCCGCAACAACAGACAGAGAGAGAGAGGGCCGAGTGTAGGGAGTGTGAGTGAGAGAGGTCGAGGGAATTCTCGCTTCATTAAGCACAGCGCCGCACCACAAGTTGGCCAAGTTGGCCAGCTCGAACTGGCTAAATAATATTTATGAGCTGGCTAAATGTTTGCCATCAGCCGCAGCGTCAAACGGAGCCACTCGCAAGCGCTTGCAGTACTGCATCCGAGAAATCCTCGAATCCTTGAGCCGTGCGACGACACTTTTCCCTTTTTCAATGAACGTTGCGCATTATTGTTATTAGTTTTCAGGTTGGGCACATAAAAACTTCAACAACGGCAACTGCAGTTTAGCTAGTTCCCAGTGCTTACACTGTTGCATAACAAGGAACAGGAACAGCCACATCCTTAACTTGTTGTAGTTGCAGTGCCCAATGGTGAGTGGGTGCAGAGAGCTTTGCTGATGCTATCTGAGCACATTGTCGCTGGCATTTTGTTGTTGTTGTTGCTGCTGCTGTTGCTGCTGTTGCAGCAACATGTTGTTGATGATAATGCTGTCGTTTGACTATGTTGCCATTGTTGTGAGCAGCAGCAGCAGCGGCAGCAGCAGCAGCTGTGGGGGGCATCAACAATAACGTCAGCTTAACTAAATGAAGGTCCAAGTGTCATGGATGCTCCTCAAACTTTGACACGACGACGGGCTGCTGCCACTGCCGGCTTCGGTGTCTTAAGTTAAGGGTCTGGGTTCGGGTCTGCGTCTGGATTTGGTTCGGGGTCTTGTTGCTGATGCGCATGTCGTTGTGGGTGTGTTTGACTTGTTGTGATTGCAAGTAAGCAACCAACTTTTATGTCAATCTCCAGTTGTAAAACTTACTTACAAACTTAACTCTTGGCAATAATCGCATGCCAACAGTTAACAACTGCCAAGCTGCCAGGATA